GACCAGATCTTAACATTCTGGGTGGCAACATGTTTTCTGACCAAACGGCTGATCACTGCGTAATGATAGCCAAGCTGTCCACCTATCGCCTTGTAGGACATACCAGCGGAATTCATGTCAATAATTTGCGCCTCTGATATCCGTCTTCTTGCCATTCTTACTTAAAATGATTTTGCATTCAGAAATTCGGGACTTAAATACGGATTTGATGCACGAGAAAATAGTGCATATTGGACGTGAAGAAGGGAGCAAGTTGCACGTGGGAAAAAAAATGTGCCTGATTTAAATGTCACACCTGAATGCTCACATCCTTTTAATTATGTTTGAAATTATGAACATTGCTCAACATCATGAAAATTAAACCTTATTTTCAATAAGCAATCCTGAAAAATATTTGGGGTGTGCTTAACTTTTTTCCAGGTGTATATATGGACAAGAGCAATCGTCCTTGCAAACAGGAGATTGACTCATAGCTGTCATTGATTGTCATTGATTAGGCTATCACACATGTCAGACTATTTTAGGTATGTAAATAGTCAGTGCACTAGAAACTTTTTCAATTCTTTTGCACAATGTCTGGCACACTGGATCAGTGCAGAAATAAACAAATTTAACGATAAACACATATCACTTTCTTGTGAGTTATTCTTCTGTTCAGTGGAGTCCATAAGTACCATATCAATAAAGTTGTCCTGTTCCCTCTTGCTGTTTGATAAACAATAATAAGCTACCCATTAATTAAGAAGATTGAAGACATTTTTCTTTACTACAGAATCATGCAATTGCCTTGGATTTTTTTCTTTTGGTTGAGTCTGATTTAAACTTTGCTTAAATTGCCTTCAATTCTTTCTTATTGTTATACTTAATATTTAGTTGGTTAATTGTATCTTGGAATACCAAAGTGATAATTTGTTAATTAACTTTAATTTATAATCTGTGAAGAGGGTATAGAAGCTGAGGATTGCTGCCTTCAATAATTTGATTTTTTGTGATGCTTTTATGCAAGTAAGTAGGTCTCATGTACTTATGTAATTTTTTTAGAGAATAGCTGCCTCAGATCTAGACAATGGATTAAGAGGATTTGGAATTAGCATTGGAAGAGGACTTGATATTGATTTAAATTCCTATCCAGGTAAATTCTTTTTATCACTGGATATTTTTCAAAAATCATATTGAATCATTAAACCCAACAGTAAATATAGTATATATTTCAACAATGTTAGCTTAGATCACTTTGGAGAAAATATTTTGAAGCACATTTGAAAGAAACATTAATTTTTTGATTTGTTAGTTGTAACTTAATACTTTATACTGATTTAAGTCAAGTTGTTTGGCAGAAATAAAGTAAGTAATTTATATCATTTACTACAGTGACAATTCACATACAATGATACACTAATTTAGTTACACTCATCTGTGAACATTGCTAATATTTAAGGTACTTATAAACATGAATTGATTTAATTTGTTCAAATTAAAAATAAATACTAATATGTTTAAGTTTTTTCTGCAATTAATTCTTTAATATTTTAATGGCCATAATTATATAATATTTCCCTAAACAACAAATATGAAGGACAAGAAGGTCAATCTTAGCACACACACACTTTAGCAAATTTTATACATATCCTTCATTATATGTGAACATTAGGTTCCATGTTCTGCTTGATGACTTGCTGAGAATGTGGTTGAATAAGACTGCTATGTTTCCAATATTTTTGACAATGTTCCAAATGCAATTAAAAGTTATTGAATTTGATTTTGAGGCATGTATGGAAGCTTGTGAGCCTTTCTTAACTTCATATCCTTGTTTATTATCTTGTTTGGTAGCAGGAGGTATACCCAGCTTCATCAGAATGGCTTTTTGGGTTAAAGGGTTTCTTTTTTTTTTAACTGTGTCTTTCATGTCTCAGATGAGGGCATTGTACCTGGTTGGTGAGCTCATTGCTGTATTAAATACTCTTCTGTGCAAGTTTTTCCAATTCTTCTGAGAACACCGATGACTTTCTTCCTCAAAATTTTGTGTCCTTTGGTTTTATATCATTTTAATAACCCTGCTATTTGAAAATGTCTCTTCAGACAGGATTTTTATTCACACCAGCTATACCTTAATCTAGGTGGCATCAGTTCATTGACTATGGTTGCATCTGTGATGATACACATGTTATATTAGCAATGCATGACATTCATATTACATGTCACTAACTTTCTGTATATAAAAATCTATTACAATATATTAATAGAAATCAGTTAAAAAGAAAACAATTTTACCTTAAGTGGAAAACATTTCGAAGAAGACATTGATATCATTTAATTTTTTAGTTGAGGCACATAAGGTGGTTCATTTAGTTTTCTTGTTAAATAAAGGTGTTGCAGATGAACAGCAACTGTTGTTATAATTGAAGTAAAGGTTCATAAAGTTTGTTTTTTCTTCAGATTTGCTGATTGGTGCTCATGATTCTGACCAAGCAGTACTTCTCAGGTAAGCTTTTCTTATTTGGTGAAATATATTGAAATTATAATAGGAAGTACACTGAATTGATATAATGCATTTCCAGTTAGCTTATATTTACAATTTTCATAAATCTGAACCTGCTAAGTGGTCAAAGATAATGGATATATACTTGTTTTTCTGTATTTATGCTCTCTAACTATTCCATCCTAAAACATCTTTACTTATTTATTTAGGTCCAAACCAGTTGTTCATGTGGTCTCCACAATTGAGTTTAACACAACACAGATCAATACAAATGTGACAAACTGCCAACGTGGAAATAAATTGTTCACTTGCTTCGAGGTTAAATACTGTGTCCAATTTAATGGGAAGTATATCCCACAAGCCTTGAGTAAGTATATTTAAATGAAGTATTTATGGTGTTTCAATAAATCTATAAAAAAAGCTTTCATTTTTTTACATATTTATGTATAAAATATTGTTTTGATAAAGGTTAATAAATTTATATAGTACTTAAAAATATTTAGATTTTCAAAATAAATGATAGGATTGAATGCACTTATATGAAAGTGTATGACACTACATTAACACCTTTGGTCTCAGGTTTTTCTTTTTTTTGGAAATGAGCTTAAAGAAAACAAGGTTTATGCAGATTACTTTTGCTATAAAAAAAAACTTTTTTTTGTGGAAATATTGGCTAATGTTATTTTTCTTTTAGAGTTTAGTTTTGGCTTGGAAATTGACACAGTCCGTACAGAAAACAGTCTAATTAGAGGATATCTACTTGATAAAGGCCGATCTGTGGAATATGTCAACAAAACTTTAGATTTAATTTCAGTAAATGAAAACTGTTTCAGTAATATTGCTTTTATGAATGTAAGTACAAAAACAGGGTAGATGTAATGTGTTCAAAACCTTTTATGTAATTACTCTCAGATATTCATATCAATATTTATGATTTTTCATAATTGTAACTAGCTAGGTAATTGATATAGATTAAAACTCCAAATTTTTACAAAATACAGAACTGATAAATCCTTATACTATGAAGGAATTTTTTTTTCTTCAGCATTATACTTTTGAAAAGCTTCATAAAATTGCATGCTAGAATAGTATCTCTTTTTATCAAAGCTAGTAATTTTCAACTTGTTTTTTTTTATAAGAGAAGTGTAATCAACATCTACTGCAAAGTATATAAATAGTGCAAATGATATTTTTGATTAAAGCCAAATATTTCATAACATTGATTTAAATAACTGGTGAACACTTCAAATAGGTACAAATTAAATAATTTATTTACCAAGCATTGTATTCATTTTATTAGGTAAAAATCAAAATTGTAAAAATGAATACTTAATATGCATTATTAGGTAACAAAGTAAACAATTATTCAATAACGACACCTAGCACATTTAATTTCTGTAATACATGTCCCATTTTGGATGTGACAGAACCTAACTTGGTCACAAAAGAAGTAAAAAGATTAGATTGATTATCAACAATTTTTTTCAATCACAATATTTTACTTTTAAATATATTTTTATTTTTCCATTCATGATTCTTTCTGTATCATTAAACAACAATCTGTTAGATAATTTGTTAAATCTGTAATAAATTATGCTTTCATACTTTTATACAGATGTTTAAAAAAATAACCTTATCATCCAAATATTTATCAAGCTTTCCTTTAAGTTCCCTTAAATTAACTGCATCCATCACATCCAAAGACAATCTGTTCCATAGGCCAACCACCCTGTTAGAAAAATAAAGTTATTTTAGCTGAAAGAGATGAGACAAGAATTATGTGCTGCAAATTGGGCACCTGAATTAGTTGGAGATTCTTAAGTATTCAAGATATGCATGTTCCTTATAGACAAAAGTCAGTGGCTGTAAGTAAAAAACCAGGTTAGCCCACAAATGATATAAAGGATAAAATTAAAGAAAAGCATTATAAATATAAGAAGTTTAGATTCACTGCATTGATGGGAGATTTTGAAGACTATAGGGAATCAAGAGAGTTTGTCAAATGGTATATTAGGAAATCAATAAACTATATGAAAAAAGGTTGGCTAAAATTTTAAAAATTAATAGTAAGGATTTCTTCAAATAAGGGTAAGCAAAATGTTAAGATAGGAGTAGGGCTTTTGAAGGTTGATACCAGAAGGCCAATATGTGATGGTTATAGATGGCTGGGTTATTAGATTATATTTTTCTTCAATTTTTACTAATGAAGATTAAAGCAATATTCCTCAACCTGACCAGTTGTTAATTGATGAAGCACCTGGGCTAGATAATATTTGTCCAAGGGTTTTGAAAGAGGTTAAGGATTGGAGATGTGAGCCTCTTGCTGCTATTTTTTCTAAGTCCTTGAATAGTGGGAAGGTGCCAAAGATTGGAATTGGCTAATGTTCCTCTCTTTTTAAACAGGGACTCTGTTACCATTTCTGTTTTTAAATCTTAGTAGGGCCAAAGTCATCC